GCCTCCGGGTTCTTATCCTTCATTTTCTCTTGATATAGCTCAATTAAATGCTTAGGAATTCTACATTGCTTCTGGAAGTGTCCAGTGCTACCACATCTGTAACAGACAGATTTGGTCGAGTGAGAAGGCTTGCTCGAGCCACCTCGGCCTCGGCTGGTTCCTTGGCCTCTCCCACGGCCGTAGCTGGAACCACGACCACAGTTATTGTGGTTTCCAGTCCTACGGTCGTATGGAGTCTGGTCTCGACCACTATGCCCCTTGAACCCACCACGGCCTCGACCGTGTGGTTTCCTATCACCATGGGCGTAGTTGGATTCCTTGGTCGGATCTTGCTCGACCTCATGAGCTTCTGGTACGGGTGCTGATCCTGCTGGTCTCAGGGCATTATTTCTCATCAACAATTGGCTATTGGCCTCTGCCAAAAGCAAGACTGCAATCAGATCATCATATGTGGGGAACTCTCTAGTTCTATACTGTTGTTGCAACACTGCATTAGAAGAATGCATGGTGGAATATGTCTTATCAAGCATATTCTCCTCAGTCACAACATCACCACATAACCTCAATAAAGACACAATTCGGAACAAGGCCGAATTGTACTCATCCACGGTCTTAAAATCCATGAATCTCAGGTTCTTCCATTCATCTCGACGTTTTCTGGTGATCATAACGTCGCTGTAAAGCGTCCCAAAGTTCAAGTGGATTTACCATAGTGAGGTACTGATTCTTAAGCCCTTCCACAAGGTGGTGGCGTATGATCTGAATTGCCTTATACTGGTTCTTGATCGGCTCATTATTGCCTTTCTCAATGGTATCACCAAGACCCCTCGAGTTCAGATTGATCTTGGTATCAAGAGCCCACTGCAGGTAGTTATCTCCAGAGAGATTGAGAGCTGAGTAGTCAAGGTTGGCAATCTTAGACATCTGAATCACATAAACCACATACATTAGGGTTTCACAAAAACTTGTGATTCCTTGACTACTTTACAACCACAAACCAAACCATACTTGTAACTACAATGATCATTGTGAAGACAAACAAAAACACACCATTATGATCACTCAAAACTCATATGGTTTAGCATTGGTCGGAATGGGTGAGATGACATTAAAAACATATGCTGGTCGGATTTATTAAACAATATGAATGCAACCAAATTCAACAATATGATGCAATTCATAAAATCATTCAATCACACAATTAAACAAAATCAAACATACTAATTCTCCCCCTGATTTTATTAATTGTGGTAATTAGGGTTTCAAGGCCCTTAGGTCAAATTTTGAAATCAAGAAAAATTAGGGTTTTCAAGGCCCCAAGAACTTTTAAAATAGGCGGCTAAGATAAAACAATCATCCAATCAACTTTTAAAAATTTTAAAACTTGAAATCAGAGTTAAAACTTTCATAAAAATCATTCAAAGAAGTTTTAAAATTCTTAAAACATGTTTTTAAAACTTTTACAATCATAAAATTCAGTTTTCTTAAAAAAAAACTTTTTATGCAATCAATCTTAAATCAGATTAGGGTTTAAGGCTTCAAGGCCTTATGATCTTAAAAAGGTTTCAAGGCCTTTAGGATTTAGGTTCTTAATTTAAACAATCAATCTAACAATCCTAAAACCTCAAACAAACAATTTAAACAATCAAAAACAAATTAAAATCCGATTTTAGGGTTTAGGGTTACAATTCCATAAATTAGGGTTTTTAAATTCTCAGGTATGATCACAGAAACAATCAAACATGATTAATTTGGAATTGATTTCAAGATGAGGGTGAAAGAAAGGTAGAAGGGAGAATCAAATTCTAGTTCATTCAAATTTTAGGGTTTAGCAAAAATAATCTTAAAATCTATGGTGATTGTTTCTAAGTCCTCAGATTAATGTCTATACCTTTTCTTTTGCAGATTTAAAGTAACCGGACCACCAAGAACAGGAGAGAAGACCGCGAACGGATCACCGGGTCGTCTAGGGTTCTTGGACGAGAAAAGGAAATTCTCTGGCGGCTGGAACGGTTGGTTCTGCTATCGGCTAGGGCTTCCTCCGGGAAAAAGGAAACTTGGTCGATGGAGAAAAGGAAATCGGGTGAGGCGGCTGGTCGGGAAAAAGGAAACTCGGCTAGGGTTCTCGCCGGGAAAAGGAAACGCGGGTGGAGGCTCGCCGGGGAAAAGGAAAGATCGGGTGAGGTTCTTGCGGCTGGTACGGATGAGAGAGAGAGAGCTCGATTAGGGTTTTGCAGATTTCTTTGCTTGAATTACCAGAGCAATTCGTGCTGATAACGTGTTGTAAAGAATAATGAAATATGTGTCTTATTCATGCTTTAGAGGTTCCATATATATATGGGATACAAGAACAAGATAAATGGAAAACATCCAATTCCTAAAGTAACAAGGAATTGGAAATACATAGAAAAGGAAAAGGGATCAGCCGCCTAGACTATTGGGTCACACGACCATTGGGCTAGTCCTAATCTATCTAATGGTTATGGCCCATCCACTAAATACTTCATAACAGAAACTGATTATGTAATCGTAATATCCATGTTTTCTTATAATGATATATCAACTGGTTTTATCCTAATTTAGTAGAATAGATAATATATGTCAAGGAGTTCCAAAAAAAAAAAAAAAGATAATATGATATACGGTTGTCATCAATGTCGAAGTTTTAAACTCAAACAGAATAAATTGATGCCTGACTTATTTAAAAAGAAGGAAATATTATATATCTATCAATTACCAATGAATAAATATTTAAGTAGTGACTATTAAATTAAATTAGGATCATACACATTGATACTCAAAAGCAAACATATAGTGTAACTATGAATTTTATGAAGTAAACAAAAAACATTCTTTATTTTTCCTTGAAAAACAAAGCCTTTAAATATTCCCACGTAAGTATATATCGTTGCTTCTCCTCAAAGATATTCTTTGTATCTGAACACAATCCATTTCAACCACTTTTCGTGAATATAATATGTATATATACTGATGCATGATCATCCGTCCAAACCCACCCTCGTGCATTTTAATAATTTAATGACTTTCATAAAGCGGTCAAACTCATTTGTACTTCTAGGTTTTTTAATCTCGAGTTTGCTATTAAGGGTCTCCGAAGCGTCCGTTGTTTCATCCGGAGATTTTAATATTGACTTCCTCGTGACATGGTCTCCAACCCACGTTAACACCTATAGCGATGGTCGATCAAGAACTCTTAAGCTTGATCAAGAATCTGGTATATAATAATATGCTCATTAACCGTCACAAACTCTTTTTGACTTTGTCTCCACTATACATAACTTACATTTTGATTTCATATGCATACGCAGGAGCTTCCTTTTCTTCCATCCAGACATTCTTGTTTGGGAAAATAGATATGAAGATCAAACTAATCCCTGAACCTTCTCAAGGAACCGTGGTTGCTTATTATGTAAGAATCTCTCTCTCTCTCTCTCTCTCTCTAATGTTTAGACGTGGTCTAGAGCACTAGCAAATATATTTGTTCAAGAATTTGGGAAAAACTTGTAGGCTTTTCTCTACATAAACAAAAAAAAGAAACATACAATATTAGTGCAGAGACACAAGTTTGTTATGGGCATATATAAAATGCGAAAATCTCATAATGATTAATCTCTAAAACATTTGATCAGATGTCCTCGGACCAGACAAACCGGGATGAGATAGACTTTGAATTCCTAGGAAACGTGAACGGGCAGCCTTATAGTCTTCAGACAAATATCTATGCCGATGGGGTTGACAATCGTGAAGAAAGGATCCATCTCTGGTTTGACCCAACCAAGGATTTTCACACCTACTCCATCTTGTGGAACGTTCACCAAATTGTGTAAGATTCTTTAGCCAAAATGTCTTTCACTACGTACTCCAAGAAGTAAGGTGCGTAAAAACTGATGTTTTGGGGGTGGTTTCAGGTTTATGGTGGATCAAATTCCAATAAGAGTTTACAGAAACAATTCAGAGAAAGGAGTAGCTTATCCAAGGTTGCAACCTATGAGTATAAAAGTGAGTCTATGGAACGGTGACAGCTGGGCTACAAGTGGTGGGCATGCGAAAGTTGATTGGTCAAAGGCTCCATTTGTGGCATCCTTTGGGGATTACAAGATAGATGCTTGTATTTGGAAAGGCAACCCAACCTTGTGTAAAGAAGAGAGCAATGAAAATTGGTGGAACAAAAATGAGTTCAGTTCTTTGACAAGAGTGCAAAAGAGATGGTTTAAGTGGGTGAGAAATTACCATTTGATTTATGATTATTGCCAAGATTATGCAAGGTTCCATAACAAGCTCCCCAAGGAATGTTCTCTTCCTAAATATTAAAGATTGAATTTTTTTATATATTTTTTATTTTATTTTGACATCAATAAGCTGATCTATTACTCAAACTTGAGGTGATCTGAGAATCTAGACCGGAATAGAACAACCAACATACAATAGGTCTCGATAGGTTTGGATAAAGAATCAGAAACATCATTCTGTGTCCTAGGAACATATATAGAAAGCTTGAAGTCTGGGAAGCAAATCTATAGTGTCATGAGTTTTTACAACTCTGTTGAGAAACTTGGCCATTCATGGGGATTCCTGAGCATCGCTATCATCTCCTTGCAATCCGTCCCAAAGCTCTGACATGGTGAATGTTGAAGCATATTCTCCATTGTCCACCGCAGTGCTTCAAGCTCAGAGTGTAAAGAAGAATCCACTCTACTAAAATTACGCAAACCCATCATCTGACTATTTCCCATAAGCCATCAAGCTCTCGTTGCGATTAATATCAGATATCTAAATCCTCAAAAGTGGACTCTTGTTGTGGATCTAAATACTTTAGACAAGAATAAGTACCAATTTGGTTCACTAAGTTATAGACCAACTCTTGGTGCAACTAACAACTTAGCTCAGCAGGACTTCATGCATTGATTACACTTTCGTGCGTCACAACTATCCTAGGATCAAGTTTCTAATTAATACTCTAGAAACAAGCAATAAGAACATCCTAACAAAGGATACAATAAGACTTTCCTAGCATTTCTATAAATCACAAGTTCATTACAACCCTAGAAAATCCCTAAATTTAACAATGAAACTACTCATATATGATCACGGAAACATAATAAAAGTCTGAATAGATTGCATAAAATAAGAGTAAGAAATGTTGGTGTTTCAATAAATCTTAGAATGAGTCAGGATCCTCTCGCCAAAACCTCTCTAATGTAAAGAAATGCATAGCCTTAATGTCTGAAAAACAGATAAATATAGGTTAAGCATGTCTTGTTACAAAAAAAAGAAAGAAAAAGTTAAGCATGTCTAGATTCTCTTTGCAAATAAGAAAATTTCTGGGTGAAAGTGTAATTCTTGAAACTTCAGTCGGGTCTCGCCAAGTCGAACAAGTGTCCATCGATGCACAAGGAGTATCGATTGACACTACTTGCAAATATCATCTCCGACTTCAACATCTCGGGCTTTATTCACTTTAATCTCCAAATGACTTCAAAATCTCCCGAACGCTCTAAAAACGCACCTAGACCTGAGAAGACCTCAACACAGAATCAGAACTTAATATAAAGACTCTATAAAAAGAATTATAGCATGGTTAACCAGTAAAACCAAGGTATATAAGCTTCTGAACTGCAGTAGACCGACAATGAATGTGAAACTTAAAAGTTTTCCTTGTGGCTTCATAAACAGAAATATGTATACAAAAAAAAATTTGTTAACTTAATACTTCGTGGCCATGTGGTATATCAATTACAAAATAAAATAAACCAATTTGAATACAAAAAAATGAATTAACTTGCAATAGAAGAAATCCTTGAATTAATTATTTTTTATAGTCCTTTGACATTATTCAGTACCTTTGAAACCATATGATATGGTGGTTCGAAAAGCACGGTCACACACTGTTTTTTGTAATGTACTTAAATTAAATATTTAATAGAATCTTTCTGGTTCCTATGAGATTAATAACAATGATAAATTTTCTTGTTATAACTAAATAACATATTGATTGTCACATTTCACCCCATTCTTTTAAACATAACGGTTTGGTTGTTCTCTTCGCCGACAAACTGAAAATATTTCTTTGTTAATAGTAATCTTTTCAACATGTGGTTATGGGAAGACTTTAAACATTTCTCATTCTCCATACACAGGGAATTGATATTAGTAGCCCCACATGATTTTGAATAATTATATGTTTAATCATATCACAGAGTTCAGGTTCTTTGAATTTATTGGGAATTTTAGCATAAATGATCTTGTCAATAACGCATGTGGTTGGAAGCATGTACGTATAATGCATAGATCATGTTTCAGGAACTCGATTGTGTACATAGATGAAATAGAAAACAAAAATTAGAATGTATTTAAAAAAACTGACTAATGATTTTGATAGGCATATATTTAATTTACATGAAATAATCTTTCCAAGATGATTTTTCTTGGTTAAAACATTCATCAATAAATCAAGTTTCATCTTGAACATTCTGAACATAATGTTTGGTATGTGATCTACCTTTAATTTTTGTGTCCTAAGATATCTTTTAAACTCTGACCATTTAGGATTGCATGTGAAGTAATTAAAAATATGGAAATCCAAAGTGCATACACATAGTCTTTGTGTCCAAATTATTAATATTCATATATCTAGTACCACCAGTGAATTAATTTGTGAGAATAAATGTGGATCTTTGCTTACGCATATTGATCTTCCCAGCACTCTATAACTCTTTGATAGTCATAACTCTCAGATCGAAGAGTTGACTGATTATATTTTACATGGTGTAGACGATTAGACTCTATAGTTGTATATGCGTGCACTAAAAATTGTTGAAAAAGTTATTCTTGCATTTTGAACAAATGAGCATCGTTCTTCCTTTTATGAGCACAGAATACAAAGAATTACCTCATACTAATAGTATCCTTTGCATTTTTGGTAGCTTCTATAACACCTTTCTTGATCTTAAGTCTGAAAGCATCTTCTCCATGTATGAACAATAGAAGCTACTGAAATGCAAGATATGAAACATTTCTTTTATTCTCAGCAACCTCCTAAATTTTCTGAAGAATAATTCTCTTTTGATATATATTGATATTAAAATATCAGGAATCAGAGCAACAACTTCTGATGTTGTGGTTGTGTTATAAATCCTTCCATCCTTAACTCGATTACTAAAATTTTTCATATGAAAGCGTTTTTTTTGGCGGGTCGGAATTTATTAGAAGAAAGATATACACCTTGATCAGAAATTCAATGATTTCTTTTTTTTTTAAGATTTTCTTTTATATATATATTTGTTTGATCCTCTTTGCTGGAAATTTTTTATGTCAATTAAATAGACACATTAAACAAACATGGTTAATATTTAGTAGTAAAGATTACATCAAAGCAGTTTTATTTTATTTTTAGTGTTATTTCAGTGTCAACAATATGTAACAGCCCAAACTTAGCATCATTTTGAAGTTGAAAACATACTACAAACAAATATGGGTCTATTTTTGTAACTTTGGAAAAATATGACTAATTTTTGTAACAAATATGGATATTGTGACTAATTCTTTTGTCAAAATGGGTTGTCACAATATTGTGACAAGTTGCTGACTAACTTGTGACGAATTGCTGACTAACTTGTGACTAAATTATTATGTTACGAAATAGTAACTATTTAGTCATAATATTGTGATGGAACTAAGCAACAAAATAATATCATAAATGTTAACGAATCAATGACGAAAAGTTTGTCATAAATACTTTTATCAATATGCGATAAAAATGTCGCTAATTTATATGATTTTAATGCTTAAAATTATGCCATCAACAAACTGTTAAGGAAATCTTAAAACAGATTTGGAGGGAGAAGTATCAGCCAAGACGTGCACATGAAGTCAACTTATTGGTATCATCATCAGCACCTTCACGTTTACTTCAAAAACCAGTGGTGGATGACATTGAGAAGTCATTAATCTACCCAGCAATGAAGTTGAAAAGCACCTTGGAAATATCTCTTTATCTGAAACCAATGTCACATTCAGGGGTAGTGTTTCCGCATCATTGATACATGAAACACTGGATGTATCCGCATGTCTTTGGGAATGTTGAGACGGTAAGCAATATTTCCGATTCGTTCTTCAATCAGGTAAGGCCCAATGAAGCTTACAACTAGTTTTCCGACCTTCCCGAATTTCTCCTTTCCTTTCTGAGCTGACACTTTCAGATAAACCCAATAACCAATACTATACACCACTTCTCGCCTTGATTGATCAGCATACTTTTTTTGTCTATCATGCTCTTTCTTCATATTTGTTTGAATGATCTCCAAGTTTTTCATCGTCTTTTCTACAATTGCGGGTCCGAATTCTCTTCTTTCTACAACTTTGGTCTAGCATAATGGTGTTTTGCATGGCCTCCCATTAACGCCTTATATGGTGCCATACCTTTTCTAGAATGATAGCTGTTGTTATAGGAGAATTTGATTAATGGAAAAGGCTTCTCCCAGTTTCCCACCCAATTCAATAAACACATTCCTATCATATCCTCTATGGTGTGAATGGTCCTCTCTATTTGGCCGTTCGTTTCAGGGTGATACATGGAGCTTATGAACATCTTAGTCCCTAAATATTCTTGTAACACCTTCCAAAATTTGAGGTGAATGTAGGATCTCGATCGGAGACAATATCTGTTGGCACACAATGCAACTTCACAATCTGGTCCACCTACATCTCTGCCAATACTTCTACTTTATTGGTTTCCTTCATAGGTAAAAAGTGTGCCACCGTCGTCAATCTATCGATAATTACCCATATTGCATTATTTGATCTTCCTCGGGCTGGGCGTAACCCAGTGATCAAATCCATAAAAATAGAATCCCATTTCCACCGGGGGTATTGCTAAGCTTTGTAACAACCCTTTTGAAACTGATGCTCGAACTTGACTTGTTGCAAGTTTGACACTGAGCCACCCATCGTGCTACTGATTTATTCATTCCTGGCCAATGATAATACTTTCAGATATCTCGATCCATTTTCGTACTTCATGATGGATATTGAGGAACGAGTGATGCACCATATTAAAAATCTCATCTCGTAGCCCTCCTCCATGTGCCACCGAGATTCTACCATTAAGTAATAGTGTATCATCTGTTGTCACATGATAGCCACTTGGGTTTGGACCTTCTTGATTTTTAACTTCCGGGATGATTTCTTTTAACTTTTTATCATGTTGTTGCTCCTGCCTGATTTGTACGAGTAAACCCGCCTGCTTTACTGTGTGCACACCTAAAGGCTCACTTGGCTCCCCTTCAATTTCACATAATGTCATCAACTTGAGTTCACTTGATAATGCTTCTACTTATCGGATGCCAGCTTCCTACGACTCAATGCATCTGCGACCACATTAGCTTTACCAGGATGATATTGATTCTTTTGGTCATAGTCCG